AAATGAAAGAACAGAATCACAGCAAAAGACCTAAGCAAAGCAAAGAGAAAAGCAGTATGCCTGATAAAAATGCAAAGTGATGGTTATAAAGATACTCACTGGACTTCAGAAGAGAATGGATGAATTTAGTGAGAACTTCAATAAAGAGATAGAAAATATAAAACAGATCAAGGCAGAGATGAAAAATTCAATAACCAAAATAAAAACACACAAGAGGGAATAAACAGCATACTAGGGTAGGCAGAAGAATGGACAAGTAATCTGGAAGACAGGATATTGGAAAGCAAGCAACCAATCAAGAATAATAAAAAATGAGAATACGTTAAGGGAACTCAGTGACATCATCAAGAGTATTAACATCATATTATAGGGATCCCAAAAGAAAAGAGGAGGCATTACAACTTATTTGAAGAAATAATAGCTAAAAACTTCCCTAATCTGGGGAAGGAAACAGACATCTAGGTACAGGAATCACAGAGAGCCCCTAACAATATTAAACCAAAAATGTCCACACCAAGATATGTAATAATTAAAATGGCAAAAAGTAATGATGGTATTTTAAAAGCAGCAAAAGGGGAAAAAAGTTACATAAAGCGAAATCCAATAGGCTATCAGCTGATTTTTCAGCAGAAATTTTTTAGACCAGAAGAGAGTGGCATGATATAGTAAAAAAACATGCAACCAAAATACTCTATCCAGTTAAATTACCATTCAGAACAGGAGAGTAAAAAGTTTCCCAAACAAAAGTTAAAAGAGGTCATTACCACTAAACCAGCCTTATAATAAATGTTAAAGGGAATTCTTTGAGTGGAAAGAAAAGTCCATAACTAGAAGAAAATTATGAAAGGGAGAAAGTTCATGGATGAAAGTAAACATTTAATGAAGGTAGTAGATTAATCACTTATAAAGCCATTATGGAGGTTAAAACACAAAAACAGATAATTACATCTAACAAAACCATTCAAGGTATACACAGAATAAAAATATGTAAATTATGACATCATATACATAAAACATGGAAACAGAGTAGAAATTTAATGCTTTTAGAATGCATTTGAACTTAAGTGACCATAAAGTTAATATAGACAACTATACTCATAAGATGTTATATATGAACCTAATGGTAACCACAAATCAAAAACCTACACAAAATAAATAGAAAGTAATCCAAGCATAACACTAAAGAAAGCCATCAAATCACAAGAGAAAAGAGTGAGAGAAAAAAGGGACAGAGAAGAAAGGGACAGAGAAGAACTACAAAAACAATTAGAAAACAATTTACTTTAAAGGGACTAAATGTTCCAATCATAGACATAGAATGACTGAATGGTTAATACACAAGGCACATCTATATGCTGCTTAGACTCATGTCAGACCTAAAGACACATACAGACAGAGAACAGGGGTAGCAATACTTAGACAAAAAAGACTTTTAAACAAAGACTAGTGAGAAACAAAGAAAGACAATACATAATGATAAAGGGAACATCTAAGAAGATGATATAACAATTTTAAATACCTATGTACCCAAATTGGAGCACCCAAATACATAAAGCACATATTAAAAAACATAAAGGGAAAAAATTGACAGTCATACAATAATAGTAGGAGACTTTAATACCTCACATATCAATGGACAGATCATCTAGCCAGAAAATCTAAAGGAAATAGTGCCTCTGAATGACATAACAGACCAGATGTATACAGATATATACATATCATTTCATCTAAAAACAACAGAATACACATTCTTTTCAATTGTACATGGAATCTCCAAGATAGATCATGTTAGGTCACAAAACAAGTCTCAATAAGTTTAAGAAGACTAATATATCAAACATCTTTTCTAAACACAATGGTATGAAAATGAAAATCAATTGTAAGAAAATCTGGAAAGGACACAAACACATGAAGGCTATACACCCAAGAAGTCAAAGAGGAAATAAAAAAATACATGGAGACAAAGAAAAATAAAAACACAATAGTCCAAAATCTTTGGGACACAGCAAAAGCAGTTTTAAGAGAAGTTTATAGCAATACAGACCTACTTCAAGAGATGAAAATCCTTAAACAACCTAACCTTATAGTTAAAGGAGCCAGAAAAAGCTGAAAGCCAGAAAGAAGAAAGGTAATAATAATGATTAGAGAGAAATAAATAAAATAAGAGATTAAAAAAACACACAAAGAAAAAGTCAATGAAACTAGGAGCTGGTTCTTTAAAAGGATAAACAAAACCGATAAACTTTTAACCAGACTCATCAAGGAAAAAAGACAACTCAAAATCAGCAATGAAGAAAACAACCAACACCACAGAAATACAAAGGATTATAAGAATATTATGAAGAATTATATGCCAAAAAATTGGACAACCTAGAAAAAACGAATAAATCCTAGAAACATAATTCTCTACAACTAATTTAGGAAGATCAAAAATCTGAACGGAACTGTTACTATTAATGGAGTTGAATCAGCAATCAAACACTCTAAACAAACCAAAGTCCAAGACCAGATGGCTACACAGGCAAATTCTACCGAACATTTAAAGAAGAGTTAAATATTTTTTCTTAAATGATTCTAAAAAATAGAGGAATGAAAACTCCAAATTCATTCTATAAGGTCAGCATTACTATGATGCCAAAAGTAGACAGAGTACAAAAAAAAATGTATAGGCCACCATGTGGGACTGAATCCCACAACCCTGAGATCACAAACTGAGCCAAAACCAAGAGTTGGATGCTTAACTGACTGCACCACTCAAGCGCCACCCAAAGCAATCTTGAGAAGAATAAGACTGTACGTGTCTCATCAACTCCAGGTTTCAAGATATACTACAAAGCTGTAATAATCAAAACAGTATGATACTGGCAATCAAAACAAAACAAAACAGATACATAACACAAGTCCAACAGAACAGAATAGGATGCCCAGAAATAAACCCATGCTTATATGATTGACTAATCTACAATAAAGGAGGTAAGAATATGCAATGTGAAAAGACAAGTCTCTTAAAAAACGGTGCTAAGAAAACTGGACGGCTACATGTAAAAGAGTGAAATTAGACCACTTTCTTATACCACACACACAAATTCAAAGACCTAACTAAATGTGAAACCTGGAACCAAAAACCTCTGGAATAAAACATAAGCAGTAATTTCTCTGACATCTGCTATAGAAACAGTTTTATAGATATATCTCCTCCAGCAAGGGAAATAAAAGCAAAAATAAACTATTGGGACTACACCAACATAAAACCTTTTGCACAGTGAAAGAAACAATCAACAAGATGACAAGACAACTTACTGAATGGGAGAAGATATTTGCAAATGATGTATCTGATAAAAGGTTAATATCCAAAAATATTTAAATAACTTACACAAATTAACACGAAAAAATACCCCAAATAATTAAAAATGTGCAGAGAACTTGAATAGACCTTTTTCCAAAGAAGATATACAAATAGCCAACAGACACATGATAAAATGCCCAATATCACAAATCAGTAGGGAAATGCAAATGAAAACTACAACGAGATGTCATCTTACACTTGTCAGGATGACTAGAATAAAAAAGACAAGAAACAACAAAGTTGTCAAGGATGTGGAGGAAAAGAGACCCTAGTGCACTGTTGGTGAGAATATAAATTGGTGCAGGCACCATGGAAAACAGTATGGAGGTTTTTAAAAGTATTAAAAATAGAAATACCATCTGATCTAGTAGTCATACTATCAGGTATTTACCCAAAGAAAACAAAAAACACTAATTCAAAAAGATAAATGCACCACGATGTTTACTGCAGCATTATTTCCAATATCCAAGATATAGAAGCAGCTTAAACATCCATTGATAGATTAATGGATAAAGAAGATCAATTGATCAATCGATCGATAGATACTGGAATATTACTCAGCCATAAAAACTAATGAGATATTGCCATTTTTTAACAACATGGATGGGACTGGAGGGTATTATTCTAAGTGAAATAAGTCAGACAGAAAAATACCATGTAATTTTATTTACATGTGGAATCTAACAAACAAAACAAGTAAACAAAGAAACAAAAACAAAGATTCATAAATACAAAGAACAAGCTGGTGATTGCCAAAGAGACAAAATGGACTGGTGATGAAATAAAGGGGGTTAGGAGCTACAAACTTTCAGTTATGAAATACATAAGTTATGGAGATGAAAAGTACAGCATAGAAATACAGTGAATAATGCTGTAATAATATCATAATGCAACAGATGGTAATTACACTTATTGTGATGAACACTGAGTATTGTATAGAATTGTTGAATCAATATGCTGTACATCTGAAACTAGTATAACATTATCTGTTAAATATACTTCAATTAAAAAAGAAAAAAGTGAGGGGAAATCAGTTTCATGCCTATCATCATTTACTATGAAAATGTGCAGCAAGAAGACAGTGTTCATCAATTTTATCTGCTTTTACTGTTCACGTAATGGAGCTGAGAGTGCCACTTTAACAGCAATATTTTATATTTGTTTCATTGCCTACAACATAATGAAAAATAAAAAAGTGAAAGACTTCCATCTTCTCTACCCTTGAGATCCTGCTCTTCTGTATTGTTGCTGCAATAGTCCAATAATACTATTCTAATGTGCCATTTTCCTTTAGTCAATAGTCTAGCAGATGGCCATGTAGTACACCATAAAAATTTTCGTAACAATTGTGTTTGCTTAGGTTAATGGCAGAAATGTGATCCATTTTATGTATCCTCAGACTCTAAATGCATCTTTCCAAACAACAGGTGTTGCCTTTAAAATGTGTTACAATTGTGTTTGTTTCCTAAACTCTCTTGGTTTAGTTTTTATTATTAAACCAATTACATTTCTAAAATTCTAGCCTAACAATGTTCCACATAAAGAATATTTACCATCTAACATACTAATGTCAATTCTTTATAACATCTTCCTGTATTTTAGTTGTAATGAGTAGAGTATAAAAATAGTATTAATCTGTAAATGAATAACTTACTTGCTTTGTGTCAGATCAACTACAATGAGATCTTTCTCCAGAAGTACTACAACAGCATAAGGTTCTTGAAATTCTACAAGTAAAAAATAAAAAGTGGAAGTTTTCATATTTTATAAAGTCACCAAACTTTCATTTCTTTTATCTCCTCACAAAACTTATTTAAATTGTTTCAGAAGACCAAAATATGAACCAAAATAAGAAAAACAAAGAGCACTTTAAAAAAATATTGTGTTTCTCAGACTTTAAGATCATTACTGGGAATATGAAAATGAGAAGTTGCATAGGCATAGAGTTAAACATTTCTCAATAATCATGAGGTGGTAATAATAGTAGATTATTTGAAGACAGTGTTATCTCTGTCTCACAAACATTTATCTTATTCCATAACCTTCCATTTTAGATCTGATTTCATGCGTACAAGGAGTTGTTCTAAGAAAATAGTTCTGCCTTCCCGATGAGAGCAACACTCCTTATACTAAAAAATGTAATTTCAATTCAGTGTTATTTAACATGTATTTAAAGATATGCCTAAGAGTATATACCTCAAAAAGGCAGGGAATCTGAGGATAGTCTAGGATTTTCAAGTTCTTAAATCTAACCCCCCCCACTTCCTCCTTTCAATATGTTCCACCAACTATTCTTAAAACAAAGGATACGTGGAAAATAAAATTGACAACGTCCTTATTTTCATGGAGTTTACATTCTAGGGCTTTGTAGGGATGTATACAAACCATGAAGGAGTAAACAAGATAAATTCAGAAAATAATGTGAGCTATGAAAAAAAAATGTCAAGGGTCATGGTATAAGAAATGACTTGTGGTTAGTTGGAGAGCACTAATTTAGTTATTGTGGTCAGGGAAGACATTGCTTTCCATCTATGATAGTGACAAATAAAGGAAAGGCATAAAGTGTTCTCAATTTAAAGAAAAAAACGTATTTACAAAAATGTCTTACATATATGATATTTGATTCGCAGTAGCTAGAACAGGTATTGCTATTTTTCATTTCATAGAGAAAACTGAAGTCCTAAGAGGTTATGAGATTGGCACAAATTTGCAAAGCTAGTTTACTGAAAAGGCTGGAACTATAACCCAGGCCTTCTGATTCTAAATTCCCATGTATTTTCATTATACCAGTAGTTTCTACTAGCTACTTAAAAAGTATTTAATCCTAACCTCAACGGTCATTTGGCAGGAATTTTATTCAGAATATTCAAGTTTTAGGGGGAAACTGGAAGAGATGGCCTTCACAGTCCTTCACAGGCCTTTATAGTCTTGAGGAGCTATAGAACCTATTCATATTTACAAGTCACATGCCATGAGAGAAAAACTGGAAACAGAAGCCCCAAAACTGAGGAGTATACCCTTGTTTGGGTGCACATTTATAGGACAGTATGCAGTCTTCATACTATTTGCCATTCAATCTGTTCTTGAATTGAGGCTTCCTCTGTTTCTCTTACAGCTGTTTTAAGTTTTTAACATATTTTAGTACTTTTGAATTTAGGGGTTTTAGGGTTAAAAAATGGTTGTTTTTTGTTTGGTTGGTTTGTTTTTCAGTTGAAAGAACACTGGAGTTCTATAGTACTACTCATTGGTCTTCTTTTTAAGACAGTCATTGATTGGGAAGCAACTGCTACAAAAATAAAATAGTTGAGACACTGGCATGAAAGAAAAATTCATAATCATTTTAGGTAGTTATATCTATTTTATCACTTTAAGTAGGTATATCAGTTTTAGTTGTTTCTTTTCAAATAATAAAAACTGGTGGCAAAAGTTTTACCTTTGTAGAAGTACTTGGTGTACTGTAGTAACCTCTGAATAAAAAGATTTCCTTAGGAGTCAGTATTAGGTTCAATTTTGTATCTATTATTTATTAACAGTTTGAATGGGGAAATTCATTAACTTATTAGCTCAATTAAATTCAATTTATTTATTTATTGATATGGCAAAATAACTACCTTAGACTATTATGAAGATTAGATGTATATGAAGATATTCAATGCAAAGCCTGACACATAGTACATGATCAGTAGATGCCAATAGAATCACTTCCTCTATTAGATTGGTTTATTTTTGAGCAGGCCCAGTCTTTTAACCCTAGCCCCCAACAGGTAAAAAGCTCATCATAATTACTATTTCTCTGAAGAGAAACGCATTAGTTGCTTGTGCTTGTAGAGGACCAGATATTGTTAAATGTAAATGTGAAATTGACAAATTCTGAGTATAGTTGCTTAGTTACTCTGAGCAATACCCCTGAGATGAGAAATTTCTGCTCTTTGAAAAACAAGTTGAATTGAATTGTCAGATATCACAAATGGTTTATCAATATTAAAAACTGTTAGTAAATTTATTTTTGTTTAACATATGTGTAAAATTTATCACTATGTGACTGTAAAAAAGAATGAAGTTCCATATTTGCTAATATGGAATCATAATCAAAATACACTAAGTGAAAAAAAAGGTGTAATATGGAATAGCACATAGAATATGCTGTCATTTGTACAAAAAAGAGATAATGCATACATAGATAAATACACATGGGCATAAACTTTCTGGGAGAATACATAAGAAACTTAGAAATAGTCATTTCTGGAAGGGCAGTAAGTTTTCATTATACACTAATGTGCATTATGGGGTCTTTTCTGTCATTTTCATGTATTAGTGATTTAACCAGAAATATTAATAAAATATATTTTGCTGAGTAAAGTTAAAATATTTCCCTTAGCTCCTGACAAATAAAAATTCCATCCTCATTACCACTACTCTGAAAGACAAAGACATATCTGTTGCTTGGAAGTGATTAGACATAATTTACTTAATATTATTAGAAATTATCCTAACATCTCTACTGATGTGCAGAAATTTACATACACACACATAAAATGTGTGGTTGCAGAGTTCAAACACTGTCAGTCTCTATTACTGGCACATACATTTTTCTCTAAGGTCTTTAATAGGAGGCATTTTCCTAAATCTTAAATCCTTTTGGTCTTCTGTTTGTTCTTTCTTTTTTTTTAATTTTTATTTATTTATGATAGTCACACACACAGAGAGAGAGAGAGAGGCAGAGACACAGGCAGAGGGAGAAGCAGGCTCCATGCACCGGGAGCCCAACGTGGGATTTGATCCCGGGTCTCCAGGATCACGCCCTGGGTCAAAGGCAGGCGCCGAACCGCTGCGCCACCCAGGGATCCCGTTTGTTCTTTCTCCCTTTGTTCTTTTATCATGCATTCTCACGACTCTAAAGAACATCTATATTCTGATAAGTCATAAATAAATATTAAAAAACATTTCCTTTTCTTTTTCTGCTAAGCAACTCTACTGACTTATAACAGACTTATCTTTCTCTTTCCAAAAACTGTTAATGCATATAAAACTACTACTTTTTGAAAAAAAATTATTTATTTGAGAGAGAAGAGAGAGTGAGCACAAGTAGGGGGAGGGGGCAGAGCGAAAAAGAAAAGCAGGCTCCCCCCTGAGCAGGGGCTCAGATACAGGACTTTATCTCAGGACCGCTGGATCATGATCTCAGCCTAAAGCAGACACTTAACCAACTGAGCCATCACTGAAACCACTACTCTTAAAATGTTATCTTTGACTCATCTATCATCTATCATGCCACTCTCTATGACATTGGTGACCAAATTCAGTGGGTTTCCTCTTCCATGCCTTCAGGCACCACTGTGTTTCAGATCTGGACCATTTTAATGAACATGGTCGTAAAAACTGCCCAGCTAGAATCTGGAATTTAAGATTTCAGTATCCTATATCCCCAACCCATACACTCCCTTTTTGGCCAATTTTACTAAAAACATTGCTTTCTTCCATTTCAATATTTTCTCAAAACTTCTCTGTAGCTTGCTATTTCCAAATACCTCTAAAAGGCTTTCAATTTTTTCTCTAAGTTGATCTCACTCTAGCAAACCTTATAAATTCTAAAACCTTTATTCAATATCCTTTTCATGTGCCAAGTCATTCTTCAAAGTTTATCTAAAGTCTACTTTTTCCATGAGGCTTTGCAAGAATATTTCAGCTATTGACTATCTGACTAGCCTTTAAATTAGTACACTATTTAAACTTTGACCCATAACTCAACACTTAAGTGTTATATTTTTAAAACTTAAGTCATAATTATTTCCCTCATCCAACTAGATTTTATGTGATTTGACATCAGAGATCACTTTCATGCTTCATCTGTATTCTCAATAAGTCTTTGTAATACTGAGGCCATAGAAGCATCTAATAAATATTTGTTGATTCGTTAACAACACAGGTAACTTGTCTGTCTCAGCAATTCTGGAAATAAAATGCCACATTGACTGTTATTGCATGTCAATTTATCCTATCTTTAAATATGAAACTAAAGAATTTAAAGCAAATTAATACAATTGTAATAAAACAATTTATAGATCTTCATAGTTATAAAATATGTTCATTTTGTCCTTCCAATAATCATGTGGGGTTAATATTATTATTCTATTTCTAAAAATGATAACTCTAACTCATAAAAGTAAAATGACTTACCCTAGCTAGTGAATGACAAACCTAAATCATAAAACCAAATATTGTGTCTCCAAGTCTAGTGTTCTTTCTCTTATATGTTTCTTCTTGAAATTATAGTTATATATCTATATACACATATATTATGTTGTTTTAATCATAAACTCATTTCGCTTATGTTTCACCCTTCTCAATTTTTAGATTTCATTATTAAAATATTTTATTATTATTAGATTTCATCATACAGTTTTTTTTATCATACAGTTTGTACATAAGTTTAATTTTTATGTTTATAAAAAGCCTTTATATTCAGGATGCATCCTTCTTCCCAAATGCCCTTCTAATTATTCTCAAAATTAAAATAAATCACTAACCACACATCAGCAATCCTAGAGTAATCAGAGGTGCTGCAGTTGCATCTGAAGCAAAGCCAGATGTGAAACAGATGCACTACCACCAGAGTTACAGATCACTGATATCAGGTAAGTGCTTTAACTTTGATTAGTGTTGGAATGGGATGGGTGGAGCTGGTCTAGGAGAGGCTATTAGGAGACCTCAGTTTCCCCAAGTGATTTCACCCTGGACCCCTATCGGACCCTCCCAGCTCAGCTTCCACCATCCTTATCAAAGTTTAAAGCACTTACCTGATATAAGAACCTGAAACTCCAGCACCGCTGTACTACATCTGTCTTACTTCCAGTTTGTCAAGTAGGTACAGTTGCGGAACTTGCTCCAGCACCTGTAGCTCACAATGTTGTACCACAGTGGATGTCAGCTGCCAAAACTAAAAATATTTAAGCTTAATTTTATTAGGAACTTGCTTCAAAAATGAATTTTAACATTAGTATTTTCATTTCTGTTACTTACCATTTGGATAGGGTGTTTCACATAAAGTAAGAAATTCAACAATAGGATGATCCATTTCAAGCACTGTAATTGCTTTTCCATGCATGATGGTTAAACTTGGTCTTCTGCAAGCTTTGTCATAGGACAATCCACCAGAAAATATTATGAATGGTTCACTATATAGAAAAAAAAGTTATGAGATTGAGAATCCTTTAAGATCATACAATATCATAGAACTGAGCTGATGAACAATAAGTTTGGTGGGGATTATATACAATGCAGTTTGACAGCAAACATTTTTCCTGGCCCAAAATATCTCACCCAAAAGACTTACTATTCTACCATTTCCCTTTTTCTGGATGTGAATTCTCACCATTAAAATTACTAATGGGGATGCCTGGGTGGCTCAGTGGTTGAGCATCTGCCTTTGGCTCAGGGCATCATCCTGAGATCCAGGATCAAGTCCTGCATTGGGCTCCTTGTGGGGAGACTGTTTCTCCCTCCCCAATAATAAAATTACTAATGAATCAGTCTAAAGGTGATAAGGTGTGTTGAGGGAAGGTAGAGAAGTTGGAGGGAGGTAGAGGTGCTCACTGACTCAAAAGGATATCTTCACAGTATTAATTTCCAAAACTCTGTATCACTACAATTAGAATATTAAGCTATGTTAGTCTATCATATTAACCATTTGGCATGTGGGATAAAAGAAGAAAATTCTAATATAAAATTAAATGTGACAATAGCAAGCTTAGAGTGGTAAAAGGTAACATGAAAATTCTATATAAGGGAGTTTTTGTGGGAAAACAGTTATGATAAAAAGATGGAGAAAACCAAGAAGAGTAAATGTGATCTTACAAATTTTACTTAGGGTCAGTCAGGTCTTTTTTTTAAAGATTTTATTTATTTATTCATGAGAGACACACAGAGAGAGGTAGATATATAGGCAGAGGGAGAAGCAGGCTCCCCAAGGGGAGCCCGATGTGGCACTCAATCCCAGGACCCCAGGATCATGACCTGAGCCAAAGGCAGATGCTGAACCACAGAGCCACCCACATGCCCAGGTCAGCTGGTTCTATTTAGCTAATAAAACTAAATCAAATATTTTAGGCTCTGTTTTTGCTAGATACAATTAGATAAATACAATGGGGCTGAGGTGACTATAAAATATTATATCTGTCATAAAGTTATGAAATAGTGTCATAATTTTTCACTTTTCTCAAATTAATACCTGTATCTCTACTTTATGTATATAAAATATGCTAATGAAGTATTTTTTTTTTAATTTTTTTTAAATTTATTCATGAGAGCCACACAGAGAGAGGCAGAGAGAGAAGCAGGCTCCTCGCAGGGAGCCGGATGTGGGACTTGATCCCTGACCCGGGGATCACGACCTGAGCCCTGAGCCCCAGGCAGATGCTCAACCGTTGAGCCACCCAGGTGCCCCGCTAATGAAGTATTTTCAATAAGCAAATATCAAACTGAAAATATCCTTCTCTAAAAATTATTTTTAAAAAGGACTACTTATTTTACCAAATTCTTTGAGAAAATATGCTTCTCTAAATAATTCATTTCTATCTATTCACTGAAGAATATACTAGTTTCTAAAATCACTCAATAAATTTTCCTTTTTCTTTCATTTTGTACTGTACATAGAACCAAGCATTATCAATGAGGCATTTGCTAATCTTAGGCTGACTATATAACAAGAAAAAAAGAGCTTTTACAAAACTTCTATTAAAACCTACACATAAAATGTCTATACTGATTTTATTTTCCTTGAGTCCTATATAAGTTGATGCTAGTCTTGCTTCAGTAATTTGGCATAAATTACCGACCTAGTAATAGTAGGTTTTGAGCAGCAAGCTTTTTCCTATGTTTATATTAAGATTTCTCCAGACTCAAAAGTCATTTCTAATGAAATGAGTAAGTGTTTTTGCACCTTTTCTGCTTTTATTAGGACTCTGCATCAGAAAACACTGGGTCTGAAGTTATTAACTGATTTATGTGCACTCTCTGTAAACCAGTGAATAACTAAACAAAAAGTTATTTCCTCAGGAAAATGCTCAGGAAACCACTCATGAATAACTGCATTAGAAAATTAATTATAACATTAAATCCTCATAAGTATAATCCTCATTAATGAAGTTAAATAACAACTAAGCAGAAAAACCCAAAAGAAAACAGATCTCCCAGATTTTGAAGTCTATTCTCTTAAAGAGTGGTCCGTACTGCCTATAGCAGATGACTCTGGGATTAATGTAGGTAAACTTGTTCAGAGCTATGTAGTGGCAGGATAAAAATTCAAATCCAGTGCCCATGTACATGTTTTTCACTTCTAGCCTAATGTGGAAAAAACTTTAGAAACTAATATTTCTAAAACTGGAAAACAACAAATGTTCTGAAAAAAAAAGTTTTTAATATAAAATTTGACAAACACTTGCAAACAATATCTCCCTTTTGAAATTTTATAATTCAGGTCATATAGCAAAGATTCTAAGAAACTATACAGTAAATAGTCCTGTTTACTTTTATATAACCCAGAATTTCCCATACCTCTCAAATGCATTTGATTACAGATTCCTATTTTTTTTCCATGAATACAGTTAGTGATCAAAGAGACACAATTTGGTAAATGCTATATCACACACAAAACTGCCTCCTTGACTATTTATTTAGTACAAGTGTATGCTGGTATACTGATCAGATGGACTATTACAAAATAAATAAATATGATTAAAAATGTCTTCATACATGAAAAAACATTAATACAAACTAAAAATTATTGACAACAACTTGGATAAATCCCAAAGGCATTATGCTGAGTGAAAGAAGCTAGGATCAAAAGATTATAATACATAACTTCATTTATATGACATCTTAAAAAGGCAAAACTACAGTGATGGAGAACAAATCAATGGTTGTCAGGGGTTAGAAGTGGAGAAAAGTGTGACTATAAGGAACAGCAGGAGAGAATTGTGGGGGTATGGAAATACTCTGTAATCTTATTGTGGTGGTGATTTCAGGCATTTATACATATTTCAAAATCCACAGTATCGTACAACCAAAAGAAAAAAGTACTGTATAATTTGTAAAATAAGTATAGTATAGAAAAAGCATTAAAATTTTGTCTCAATGAAGGCAACAAGATTAAGCAATAAATTGGGCAACATAATATAATATATTAAAATAACATTTGTGGAGTATTTATGATGTTCTGGGTATTGTGTGAAGAATGCTTACTTGCATTATTGTATTTAATCTTTATGATATCTCAATGAGAAAACTATTATTATCATTTAACAGATGGTTATACTGAGGCCTGGAGAACTTTATGCATGAAGTCTATCAATAAGTGGCCATGATAGAAATTAAAAATTAGCAGAAAGTAATTTTTATTAACCACAGAGAACTTGATAATGTTAGTGGTAGCAGGTAGAGATCATTATTCCTTTTTTGAAGAGGATACATTTATTAAGCCTAGAGACCATAGCGGGTGGGGTGCCAATAAGCAATTTGGTGACTGGGGACCAATGATTACTAAGCAGAATTGTTGTTCATCCCTAGAAATTTAAAGCCAGCTTGTGAATGGCTGATCTAAGATAAACTAAGAAGAAAACATACCCCTTGCATCTGCTAGCTATGGAATCCTTTAAGGCACTCTATTGCTGCTGCATATTTGGTAGAGTTCTTCTTAAAGTTCTTGCTCCTGCCACAGACATCCCAATTTTTGACTTCACAAAGTTTCTACTGTGTACTAGTTGAAGCAGAAATAGAGCTGTTTATTTTTAGTTCCAGGCTATGGCCTATTTTGCTGTCACAGTACTTTTCAGTACTCTTAACTTTGGTGCTCCTCTGCTGTTTAGTTTCCTTGCATTCTGAGCTGTGAAAACTACTGCTTTTAGAGGTGACTTTTCTAATCTACTGGTAATCTAAACAAACACAATGTACTAAAGTGCACAGTAAATGGGATGAAGGTAATTATGATCAATAATACATAATTATTTCACATTAGAAATCTAAAGAATTATTTCTACACAAAGTTGGGTTACCAATTACTAGAATAAATCATTAAATTAAGATCAGTGGAATAATTTTCACAATGTGAAACACCATGGCTTTAATAATGACAATAATGATAACTTCTTTTTATCAAGAAATCCACTATGTACCACTCATCAAACTTATGATATTACAAACTCCATAATTTCATTTATTCTTTACAAACATCACGATGAGATAGGTATAGTTGATGAGGAAATTAAAGTCTAAAAGAGTTCATTAAAAATTTCAAGGTCACATAGCTGTCTTACCCCTTATGCCAAGGATCTTATTATTTTTACACTGCCTTGACCTGAATTCTTGATTCTGAAAGTGTTTTCTTTTAACCTGCATCCTTTCCTTACTTTGTGTGCCACAATCCTATTATCCCTTATGCCTCATCTCAGATACACCCTTCCCAAGAAGAAACTTACTTCACTGTTCTCTTCTCCTATCTAGTCTCAGTTAGGTGTCTTTTTGTTGTGCTCTCATAGCATATCTCTATAAAAACACCTCACATGTTACATGGAAACCACTAGTTTATGGCCTTACTTCTCCTACTAGATAATCATAGATTCAAAAGGAGGCAGCATTCTCTTTCATTTTAGTAAACTAAACAAGTTGTACAGTGTGTACAATGTAGTAATAACTAATAATATATGTACATAACAATATATGTATATAATATATGTAAAATGTTTCCATATATAGTATGTATATAAGACATATGTAAAATGTTTCCATCTATAATAATTAAATTTAAAGTGTTTAAAACAATAAATAAAAAATAAAGTGTTTTAATACTTTAACTATAGTTGTACAAAACTGTGGTCATTTTTACTATTTATGATACATAGTAACATTCAGCTGTTACTAAACAAGTATTGATCTACTGTGTGTGTATAAACACACATAAATATGTATATATATAAACTATTATAAAAATATATACATAAAATATGTCTATATATTTAACTATATACCATATTTGATAGTTTATATATATAAACTCATTAAAAATGGCCATAATTTTATACTATTAAATCTTTCAAAGAGCAAGTGTAAACAAACATTAAATGTATCTATAATACTGAGAATACACTCCAGTATGAGCATGTAAGTAATACAAAGTAGAATTATACAATTTAGAGTTAAAATAAAATTAAGGTTTAGGCAAGATTTAAAATTATGGTAATTCAGATGAGAATATTGCCACTAATAATTAGTGATTAGTGATTATTAATCACTAATAATTATTGTAAGTAAAAAGAAAATTCTTGATTTATAGGATAAGGCTTCTATATATACATGATAAAATTTTATTCTATATTATTATTTAATTTAGTTTTCTGTTTCTTTAAATTTAGTACTTTTTTATTATGCTATATACATAACTCTTTATCTTTCCACCCAACTATAATCTTTCCAAGTTTAGAATGTAAAACCCTAGAGTACAAAGACTTGGGAATGTTTTAATTCTTTTATGTGCAATATCAATAGGTATGCTTCTGCTTAATAATACTGAATGATTGCTACTTAAATATGCATGGCCCAAAAGTCTTAATTTGTTAAAATGAATGTATATAATATTCATCTGAATATTCATTGAAAGTTAAAATACTTAGTAATCGCTATTGAAATACTCATAATAATAATATCATAGATACTCCTATTAAGCAATAAAAAAGCTATTATCAATGAAGAGGATTTAGCCAATTAATATACTTATATAATTATATGAAACTTTAAATAATACATAAACATTAAAGGCTATTTCCTTGCTTGTCTGTTTCTTATATATTTTCCCATATCCCTCAAAGTAAAAAATGCATACCTGTTTCTACAGGTCTTGTATTCTACTTTAAGAATTGGTTTACAAGATTCAGATTTTCTTCCTTCTCTTTGACTTTTTCCTAAAGAAAGAAAAAGGATTTTGTTAAATCACATTTAAATTCTACACATTCATGACAATTTCAAAAGTTTGACAAAAAGAGTCTAGAGAAAAAAATAAGGTAATTATGTTTTTCATAATAGGATAAATACAATTCTTTACATCCAAACATTTGTTGAATTTGTAAACAATTTTTGAATCCTAATAATTGACTGCTAGGTAAGTAATAAAATTATTTGTAAATCTATCATATCTATATTGTTTTATATTCTCCATATATAAATCTAGTCTCATATAAACTTATTTTAATCTTTTGAGTTTTAAGATTACTTTAGAATTAGACACATACACATAGTTACTGCATAATGAAATATATTATTATGAAAATCCATACTAGGCCCATTATAGATTTTATCTATAATACAAGAAAACTCTTTTTACATGTAGAAAGATTTGCCATTTAAAACTTATGATAGACTATCAAAATCATTGTATTTTTATCAAATTAATTTAAGGGAAAATCCTTTAGACAATAAAACACAGATGGTACGTTTCAATAATATACTATATTTGCATAAAAATGTTTTCTTATAGGGAAAGGTTTATGTTGTTTAGACTCCATGGATTTGGAAAAGTGATCAAAAGGAGTAGGAAAAGGAAGTAAAGCTACGCTACTTCTGCATATAACATCTTTCTAGTTATGATTTTACTTATAATTCTATGTCTCATTTTGATAAAATTTATGTTTTTGAGATGATGTTTGTTTCTTTTTTATTTCAATAAGTACCCTTATGTATTCTTGTATTGTTACAACAGTTTATAGACACAGATACCTATTATTGTAGACAGACATCTATGTGCATTTATGTTTAAAATTTCTGGATAGCTTCAGAATGGCACAGTCATAATCCAAATAGAATGTCGACATAGTTTTATTTAATTTGCTTAAAAAGCAGAGTGTCAGTATATTAAATACCTTATCTGCTCCATGACATGCTTTCTGAATTTGCTTTCTCTTTCTTTTACTCTATGTCAACAAAAGAAGCAATCAATAAAATATTGGTCATAATCATTCACATTGTAAAAACGATTTAAAAGTATCTGTATAATATACAAAAAGAAATTGAATTGCTGATACTATATGTAGATGATGATTCAGCCTTACAAAGAAAGAACTTTGGTTCAGGGACACTCTGAACAGTGTTCTTGGAGTAAGAAACAGCTGGTTGGTGATTACTGATTTGGGTAATATGTGGGAACAGAGAAATGAAGGAAATAATACAGCAAGAAAAGAGATCCATTTTCCTCAATTTATATTTTTTTCATTCATTGCTTCTCTAATAATTGTCAAATCATTAACCAGATCAAAATAGTATATTTGCTGTTGTTTATACATACATGTATGTGTAAATAATTATAATTTTTCAATCAATACACATTAGTATTATGCACTGATTTCAGTAAAAAGGAATAATATGTAAATTAATTAATAATTTACTTCAATTTCCAACTCCAATAATTTTTGGCTGAGGTTTTCAACTTTGATTATGTTCATTACCTGTTAGTAATTGAAATATACTTATAGGTCATACTGTAAAAAACTGTTATCAGAAATTGCATTTATTGCTACTCTTTATGTTCAAAGTACTACACTAAATGGCAGGGTAAAAAGAAACTGACCAGCAGGAAACTTAAAATTTACTAATTTAAGCAAAGCAAGTATAAAACTGACAATATGATGTACCATAAACAAGTGATACACCTGCGGTGTTGAGAATAGTAGGAGTACACGAAGTAGAAGTTAAGAATATTATGGTTTCACTTTATGATAGAAGAATTTCCAGATTTTTGTAGATTACCTTCTAGAAGCTAGATTAAGCATTAAAAGATAGAACTTGGGAGTTCTGGTCCAAGATGGTAACATAGGAAGACCTTGAACTCACTCCCTCCATAGACACACCAAATCTACACCTACTTATAGAGCAATTCTTCCCGAAGAAGAACTGAGAGCCAATTAAACAGTTACCACTATTTATGATTCCCCACTCCACCTTAGCTCATGCCAGCCCTTGATGACCTGGGCCACAGAAAAAAAGCCACTACTATTTAAAAGAACAAATACTATATAATAGGTCAACCCCTAGAACTCCACCAAATGGTAAGGGAGCTGCTGAAACACTCTCTGGGCTGGCAAGCACCATGGTTTAAATTCTTGTCTCCATCTTGATGGCATGGACAAAAGCCAGGATCCAGATACCCTAGCAAGCCTACTACCTCAATGACCCTGGGCCCCTAGCCTATACCAGGCCCAGCCATCCCATCAGGATAGCCCCAGTGCAGTGCACAATCAGAACACTCCTGGTCAGTGCTCACTAAATCCTTTGCCAAAGTGACACATGTGCAAAGCACTCCAGAACATTCCAGGCCCACATAATGTTGACTCCAAACAATTCACTAGGCACCCCTTGCATGGAGCACCTCAGAAACCCCTAGTCCATGCTACTTTGGCTCCAGGTACTCCATTAGGGCTTCGTTTACATGGCGCACACTGGGAAACCCTGGCTTACACTCTGCCTCAGTTCCAGCCTCCCACCAAGGCTCCCCCTGTGTAAATCACTCTGGGATACCCAACTTGGACCAATTTCAGCTTTAGCCATCCTGCCAGAGTACCCCCCTACCCTGCATCCATTTCAGCTTTAACTATCCTGCTTGGGTGCTCTGTGTGGAGAGCCCCAGGACATCCCAGCTTGTACCAACTTTAGCTTCAGTCATCCATACTCCATACCCCAATACAGTATATACTCACTTTATCTTCAGTTGTCCTGACAGAGCACTCTGTGTGGACAGCCGTAGGACCACCCTGGCCAACACCCATTTCAGTTTCAGAGAGTTCCCAGCACAGAATGCTCCAGGACCCATAGTACAGAAAAACCACAGCTCCAGCAAGCCAACCAAAGTCACTAGGCATGTGCAATCTACACAGGGGATGACAATACGTAAGATCATTCCTTTAAATTTAGCAGTAGCTGTTTCACCCAACTTATAGAAATAAAGAAAACCTAGCAAAAAAAGTCAAGCAAAATGAGGAGACAGATGGAATATGTTCCAAGTGAAGGAATAAATCAAAACCTCAGAAAAAGAACTAAATGAAACAAAGGAAAAATCTACTTGACAGAGTTCAAAATAATGGTCATAAAGATGTTCACTGGACTGGAGAGAAGAGTGGATGAACTCAGTGAGAACTTTAACATGAGATTCAATATATAAAAAATCATCATTAGAGTTGAAGAATACCATAACTGAAATGAAAAATCAACAGTAGAAGAGAAGGTGCATAAGTGATCTGAAAGACAGAGGAATAGAAAGTACCCAACCTGAACAGTGAAAAGAAGAAAAAATAATTGTAAGGAATAAGGATAGGTTAAGGAATACCTTGGATATCAAGCAAACAAACATTCTCATTATAGGCATCTCAGAAGGAGAAGTGAGAGAAAGGGGTACAAAAGTTATTTAAAAAAAATAATAGCTGAAAACCTTAATAACCTGGAGAAGGAAGCAGACATCCAGGTTCAGGAAGTAGAGTTCCAAACAAGATTAATCTAAGGAGGTTACCTATCAAAATACTAGAGAAGAACACAGGCAGCAACCTCTTTGGCCTTAACCATAGTAAATTCTTACAAGACACATCTCCAGAAGCAAGGAAACAAAAGCAAAAATGAACTATGGGTACTTTATCAAGATAAAAATATTTTACACAGTGAAGGAAACAATCAATAATACTAAAAGACAACCTATGGAATGAGAGAAGATATTTGCAAATGACATATCTGGTAAAGGATTAGAATCCAAAATCTATAAAGAACTTATCAAACTCAACACCCTCGAAACAAGTAATCTAGTTAAGAAATGGGCAAAAGACATGAATAGACATTTTTCCAAAAAAGATATCCAGATGGCGAACAGACACATGAAAAGATGCTCAACATCACTCATCATCAGGGAAATGCAAATCAAAACCACAGTGAGATACCACCTCACATGTGTCAGAATGGCTAAAATTAACAGCACAGGAAACAGCAGATGGTGAGGATGTGGAAATAGGGGAATCTTCTTTTACTCTTCATGGGAATACTAACTGGTGCAGCCACTGTGGTAAGCACTATGGAGGCTCCTCAAAAAGTTAAAAACAGAATTACCCTATGACCTACTAGATTTATCCAAAGAACACAAAAATACTGATTCAAAGGGACACATGCACCCTGATTTTAATAGCAACATTATCAACAATAGTCAAATTATGGAAAGAGCCCAAAAGAGAGGGAGGAGGGTAAAGTAAGCCATAGAGACTCTAAACTATAGAGAAGAACAAACCAAAGTTGATGAGGGAGGTGGGTGGGGGATGGGCTAAATGGGTGATGTGCATTGAGGAGGGCACTTGTGATGAGCAATGAGTGTTTTATGTAAGTGATGAATTACTAAATTCTACACCTATAACCAATCTTACCATATGTTAATGAACTAGAATTTAAATAAAAATTGAAATAAAAAAGGAAAAAGACTAAAGATAGTTTTTAAAGCAGCAAGAGAGAAGCAACTAGTTATATACAAGGGTAGCCCCCTTAAAGCCATGAAATGATTTTTCAGCAGAAACTTTGCAGACCAGAAGAGAATGGCATGACACAATTCAAAGTGCTCAAAAGAAAAAACCTACAATCAAGAATACTCTATCCAGCAAGGTTATCATTCACAATTGAAGGTGAAATAAAGAATTTCTCAAAGAAAAAAAGGGTCATTATCACTAAAGTGGCCTTGCAATAAATGTTAAAAGAACTTCTTTAAGTGGAAAAGAAAGTGTCATAACTAGAAGTAAAAAAAATCACAAAAGAAAAAAAAAGTCATGAGTAAAACCAAACATACAGTAAGGGTAGTAGGGCAATCACTTATAAAGCTAGTTTGAAGGTTAAAAGAAAAAAGTAATACAGTTAAGTATATCTAAAAAATTAGTTAAGGGATACAAATAAT